AAGGCTCGTGGAGAGGTTATAAGCACCAAAAGGCAACCTAGAGGACCAAAACCGGGCTTCATGGTTGAAGGTGCTACTTTGGAAACCGTAACACCTATTCCATATGATGTAGTTAATGATCTTAAGGGTGGCTATTGAGTTAGGCTTTCATTTTGGGCTATTTCTTGTCTGTCTATTTTTATAATGAACACCTTGTGCCCTTGATATAGTTTTCCCGTTTCGTTTTGCAATGTATGTTGAGGCACTTCTTTACTGAAATTACCTTCCATCTATTTTGTTTGTTTGATTCTGTTAAAAGCAATTCCATCCTCTGGGTTCCTTTTCTCCATAAATCAATTCAAGTTTTGCAAATAATAAAAAAAGGTTAAACCCTAATCTTAAGGGTCCCCCACCACTCCTGCCCTGAAGCATCATGAGGGAGGTAAATCGCAGGTTATGCCTCCAAGGGTACAAGGTGGAAGACTGCTTGTACACTTGCACTTACCCAAAAGCCAAATCCATATTTCAGGATTCGAACCCTTGATGCAACAGCCTTAAGCAAAGCTGAATTTCTCCACCCTCCTCTTTTACCACTTGGAGATGTGCCCTGGGGGCAAGTTTTGCAAATAATAGTTATTATACTTTGTGGTTCGATTTAACATTTTCTAATAGTCAATTCTCGTTGTCATTGTACAAAAACCGTCATTTGATAAATTTACAGAATAAATGGGAAAAAAAAATATTAATGAAGTTACTTAAATATTGCATAAATCTATAGCTAAATAATAACAACGAAAAGTTTCATCAATGGCCGAAGACCTCCCGTTAGAAAAATTATCTTTCAGCGAGAAACTCTGCCTTATAATTTATCTTCAATGCACTACTTTAAAGTTTTTAAGAGAATAAAAAATAGTTAAAGCTGGAGAAAAAATAAAGGATATTTAAAAAAAAATTATATATAGGAAATAATAGATTAATGAAATAAGTCGCACGCGGACACATCTCCCGCCCTCTCTTTGTAAAACACTTAAAATTGATCAATCGATTCTTTCTTTTAGTTCTTGCAAAATTTACATGCAACACATACGCCAATCTATCAATTCCCGCTGAATTACTTATTATTTACATCTCGATTCAATTTCCCTCAGTTCTGTAGATCTTCAGTAGGCTATATTTGTTTAAAATTATTCTGAATTTTATTATTTAGGGTTTTAATAGAGAGAGGCAGAGTGCAAGTCTGCCGTTTGGCGCTGGAGACAGGTGATGGCGGATAAGCCACAAGTCTGCCAGCTTTTGGTGCTTGAATATTTGGTTTTTGCTTTCTTTGGGGCAGGGTTTGAAGGAACGGTGGCAGGAGAAGAGTTTGTACCATTGAAGTCTAGAGAGCTTTGTACAAAATGTTGAGTGTGCTTCGGTTGCACCTTCCATCGGACATTCCGATATAGGATGCGAGCTAACGCCGTACGTGCTCTTGAAGCGGTCCGACAATTCTGTCATCACTGAGGATGTAAACGAGTCCAATCCCCTTGATGGCCACTTCTTGAAATACAGATGGTTATTTTCTTTTAATTTTTTTCTCATCGTAAATTTTACTTCTTAATCGAATGCTTAGAGGTATTTCCATTTGATTGCGGAGTCTTGTTTTGCTGTGTACACGTTGGACGGGCTTTAAAGCATCAGTCTTTGCATATTATTTTTTTGTTGCTAATTTCTTGGAACTCAGTTAACTTTGTATGATTAGTTCGTGATTTAAGTAAGACAGCCAAGAACATTTAGAACATCATTTTTTATTACTCGAGAATTCACGTTGGGCAATGAGGGGAGATGGTGGAAAGTCATATGCGGTTAATTCTAATCCTGTAGATTATAGCGAGATACAAAGACGAAAATCATGATATCAGACTGGGTATTCAGACTTCAGTTGGAAAAGCATACCCTGCGATAATGGGTTAAGGGTTTTATAAGTGTATTTTATACACTTAATCGGGGTTCTAAATTAACGATATTTGATAGTCTTTTAGCAAAATATATTCTAAATTGTTGTGTCTTATATTTAATAGGTGAATTTTCATGGATTAAAAGGAAGTGAAGGAAAGAAGAGAAAATTGGGTGAAAATGGCAATATTTAAAGTAAGTGGATTAAAGTGGCCATTGAAAGAAAATTGGATAGCAATTGAAATTTGGAGAATCTACATTATATATTTGTGGTATAAATATAAAATGTGAAAGAAATAATCAAATTAGATAAAGTGCCAAAGTGGTGGGAAACGTAACATTTGTGTGGGATGTCAGGGGTTCGAGTCACTCCCCACGCAGATATTAAAATGTCTTGATTGGGGCTCTTGGGCTTCCTTGACTAAAATAAATATTNCATTTTTTATGGAGAAAAGTATTATAATAATTTGGAGGAAAGCTAGTAAAAATGAAAAATAGGGAAAAACAATAAATATTTTTGAGAGTAGTAAAATTAAGTGTTAAAGATAAAAACCCTTTTGAAATACTTAAAAAATTTCTCTCTCTAAATTTATAAGTGCTCTGTATTATGCTCTTTAAAAATATTGAGTTACTTGAAAATGCTCTTATGATGTCCGACGTTTACTAGAAATGGATAATTGCTATTTCATTTCTCTGTTCGACACTCTAGCCACTAAATATTTAGCTCCAAAGTAAATTCTATCGCTAAATGTAGTGTACACCCATTGGAGCAAGCTACATTACAATGTATTGGATGTGTTAAAGCCAAAATACTGGTTTCTAAAAGTTACCATTGCTCGTCCAAGTGTTTTTCAGATGCATGGCAACATCATCGTCTCCTTCATGAGCGTGCTGCAAATGAAAATGGAGATGAGGAGGAAGAAACATTTGCACACTTTAATGGTCAAGGTAATACAGGAACTGACGTGGATAGTATGAGCTTATCTGCATTGCAATCAAGTTCCACCTTGGGGAATGACACAATTTTGTATCCTGCTGCTATTCAAAGTACTGGTGGTGAAACACTGTTTGAAGTCGGACGCTCGAAGACATATACACCAACAGCTGATGATATTGGCCATGCTCTTAGGTTTGAGTGTCTGAGACAAAATCAGCTCTGGCATTTTCAAGTACAATAATGACTTCCCGTGTGATTCCAGCTCCATCTCCCAGTTACCGTCGCTTGATTCCAGTGAGTGGCATTGATGCGCCAGCTCATTTAGATATGGATGGTCGTATTTCATCTGTAGGAACATTTACGGTGCTCTCATACAACATTTTATCAGAAGTGCCCACTACAAGCGAATTATACAGTTATTGTCCACCTTTGGTAATTTTGATGTCCTTTTTTAAAAGATGTTACTCTTTTTTGAACATTTATTCAAATTAGATTGGGCATCAATTTTCTGATTAAATTAAAATTTAGAAGTCGTCCCAGTTCTAATTATAAACGTTACAGTATGTATATAGTTGTTTGAACTTTCAATACAAGCTTAAAGCATAATAATAATAATAATACAAGTTCAATCATAAAATTTTAGCATTCAAAATTCGTTCTTTTTGAAATAGATAAGAAAAACATTATCATAAATGATTACGTTTTCTAAAGAACCAAGAGCAATCAACTAGCAAGTAAGTTCGTTGAAATATAAATTGAACTAATAAATCATATATTTTAGATAAACAAGTATTTTTTAATATATAAATTCGATGAATAGTTCGATTTGGTTCAAGCAATTTTGAACTTTTGAAACTTACATCGAACTGTTTCTAAACCATTTGATTTGTTTTTGAATCGAAATGTTGACAAGTCCACCAACTGCTGCAAAATCTCATTTTCGATTTTATTTGATGGTTGACTGTTTTTTGTTCACCCCTATTAGGAAATTCAATAAATTTGGGTTACCAACCATCAATTTTAAGTTAGTCACTAAATTGTATAAGGGATAGAGTATATGAGATGTGCTAGTTCAGCAAATCTGAGTCATCAATCATTAATTTTTTTGTTTTTTTATAACTTAATATATTGTTATTAAATTTCATCAATTTCAGAAATTTTCTTCAGATTTTTTGAATAAGTTATATATAGTATCTCAAAAATGGTAAATTTGAATTAACAATCAGTTATTTTTTAGTAATTTCTTTATTGTATATTGTGATTTAATGGAATCACAGTAAAATTTCATTAATTTGAGAAGCAGTTTCCAAACTATAGGTACCACCCAAACAACATCAATAATCCAACAAAGAAACAATTGCAAGAGTTCATGAATTAGACGACTTGTGTGAAAGATGACTAAGTCGTCGTGTTCTTTTGTGTGGGTTCTTCTCTTCGTCCTTTCAGGTTTGTCTTTCCTTTGCAATATTACGTACCAAATGTGACCAATCAATTATAATTAAAAAGAAATTATAAACTTCTTTCTCATATTTTCAGTTGCATTTGTAGCAGTTGAAGTGGATGCATTGCAAAGATGCAGAACAATACTGTATATTAATGGCCGTGATCTTGCAATTTGCAAAAAGAATTGCCTTCTGTATTATCTGGGAATGGAGTGTGCACTTTTGCTGGCACTTTTGGCTCATATTTTTTCTTGTTTTTACAATGGCGGTGATTGAATAACTACACACATATCAAGCATCTTAAATAAAATTATTACTTAGCAATTATTCTCACATCTTACAAAGATTATGCATTCAATGTCAAGACTAACACTAATCTGATTTAACGCATGTTTGGCAGGTATAATCGATTTGAATTGTAAGCAAAAATGAGTAATGGATAGACTGGTAGAACTCGAGGATCCTACAAAATATGTGAATAAAAAGTAAGTTTGACTAGAAAAAATAAAAATCAATCAAAGTGCATTAAATGAATCAAAACAAAAGGATTTGTTGCTCCTTAATTGTGATCGTTCTACTTGTTTGTATATAAGTTCCACAATTCAAATAAAATCATTTATAAAAAAATATATTGTAGGACCTCAACTTTTAGTTTTCCGTAGCAATGACTCCCAATTTTTTACTTTTTTAGCATTGAAATCCTATTATTCTTCAAAAATTGTGACCTTTACAACTTAGAGAATGTTTACAGCCCTGCAGGTTGATAGATGATAAAAAAAAGTACCAAATTACATATTAAGAGAAGTTGTGATCGAGTATATTTAGCAAATATCTAAATACCAAGTTACGGAGCTCTGAGAGTGTTTTTAGGAGCACTTATCCATGGAGTTCCGGCCATTGCGAATCTCCACAATGCAGTGACATGCTCGGGTAATGCGTACTCTATTCCGACTCTTGGACCAACTAGTATCTTTTCTGGCTCTGGTCCATCTAAGAGTTCCAAGCCACCTAAGCCAATCTCTCTCAGTCAGTCAGAATTACTTAATGCATACTAGCCCGGAAAGAAATTACAGATAGCTTACCAAGTGTAAAAAGAGGATGGTTAGACCACTCGGTCGAAATTCCTAATGCTTGTCCAACCTAGAAAAGGAAGTGAAATAGTCAAATAAAAGCAAGCATAGATTACATTTTTACAAAATTACTACTTCCTGAACATACCCAAGGCCTTTTTCGAAGTATTCTTGCATAAAGATGTGAAAAAATTTTGTACGCACGCAATTAATGCCTCCCAGTGAGAAATAAAAGAATCATAGTACCCCCACCAAAATAATGTAGTAATATTATACATGTACTGCTAATGATAATGCTCAAATAGGAGCAGCTAAAACAGATCGAGGACCAGAACTATGGTGAAAGGACTAAAGAACCGCCAAAAAGAATGTGATAATGGTAACTGTCACCTCAGATAGAAGGGATACAAAATAAGTAGCATCTCAGGTGACTGGATTTTCTTCAGTTAAATACTTTAGAAAGCAATCATTAAATCCACTTTTACTGGCTGGCATAAATCAACACAAATTTTACTGCCTTTGACCATGATAATCTGTAGGGAGAAAATAATCCTCAACATAGTATGTTACAGGGAAGAATACATTCAGTTGCATGTACATCAATAATGATAGTTGACTAGAACACGGAGGAAGGCACTGATAAGTTTTGTTTCTTGATCAGCTGTTACAAATGATTCGAGGACTCTTTTAATCACAAGTGTAGTCCTGATGAAAGATCCTTATCTGGTAAATGTAACTCAATGCAAGAGTATGCTTGAAACTGGTGGGCCTATTGTCGCTATATGGGAATGGTCCAATAGTGCCTTCCTAAGGTGTTCTTCGAATTGAGGCACAAACAAGTGGGCTTGGGTGGATCCTTATGCCTAATTCTAGGATATATATAGGGAGGATTGCATCTCCCAACATCTATAGCTTTTGGGCAAAATGGTTGCAGGTGGAGGTCCTGTGTTCGAGTTAATGCTGGAGCATTTACATGGAGTGGGTTTATAATGCTCCTGGATACTTGAAACGGGAGTGGGCCTATTGTCACTATATGGGAATGGCTCAATAGTGCTTTTAGGCCCAAATGGAGCAGGCTTGGGGTGGATTCCTGGGCATGCTTCTGGGTGATATATGGTGGATTGCACGTCCACATCAGCTATAGCTTTTGTGCTAAGTAGTTGCATCTCCCTAAAACTCAAGAAGAAAACCAGCGACTTCCGCAAATATTTATATGTTACCGATGGTCCATTGCATGATTACTGATAGATGCAGCAAGAGTGACTGTTAGAAAAAGAATGAAGTATAGGAATGATGCCTCAATAATCACAAATCAATTATACAATTTGCTGCTTGGTTGAAGACAAAATATTGTGTGCCCAAATCAAGAAGCGAACACATATGCAGATAAGGTCATAATTCACCTTTCCAGGCCCTGTTAGGAGAACCGGCTTCTCCGTTTTTAAACCACGACGCTGCTGAATTGTTTCCAATCCTTGAATAGAAAGAAATCCAGTAGTGAAACTTTAACCACGCAATTTGATCAAAATAAACTCTGGAAATAATGAAAACTTGCAGTTGTGGACCAGGAACTTTTTCCAAGGAGAACCAACATCAGTTAAGATTTTATAAAACACTAAAATACTGATACTTACCACAAATGAGATCCATGAAATAGTTGCTCATATTAGTTAGAAAGTCATTGAATATAGGATGCCCGACGTTCATGGCATTGACTGCCATGATGCGTCAATTCAGGGACAAAGATGAAGCAGCATAGGCAAAAGGATGCATAGGAGTAAAAATAAATATATGATAAGAATTGACTGAATTGCTTATCCAAAATTACCACTAACAGGAGCACATGAACGAATGAGGACAGCAGCTCCAACCCCTTCCTTATCTGCCACAACATTAAGCATGGTATGGAGACCATAGCAAAGATAAATGTATGTGTGTCCTCCTGGTCCAAACTATTACAGTAAAGAATTAGGAGATATTTTGAAAATTTGCCATGTATGGTTCAATATGCAATGCAATAATCAACCTCTTGTATGTCAAAGAATTTAAGTTATTTCTAATATTGTTGTATCAAATACTTCTCAGGGCTAATACTGTCCTGAATTCTCATGTCTTGAATTAACAATGCGGCATACGCACACAACAATGAATAGTGACCTTTAAGGCCTTAAATAAAAGCTTCTGATATATTTTAATTTCAATTGAATTTCTCTATTTCTGCAACCATTATTACCAATAAAAAAAAAAAAAAAAAACACAAAAGACAAGGACAGTATTGCATTTACATATTTACAGTGTTCTCTGTGCCATGCATCACTCAGGACCAGAAGTGCTATCAGATGATCCACAATCCTATTAAATATAACTGGTTGACACTGCATATAAAAATAGAGTTTGGGGACTCAAAGGGAGACATTAGAAGTGAAACTTATTGTTAAACAACAAAAATAATTTAGGAATGCAAAAAGGGCAGGCGAGGATATTTTAGTCTCATAGACATGTTCTGTAGAAAATCAAGTGACAACATTGATCATGATTGAAATTCACAAAACAATGTTCAAAGACGACATAAAGATGAGGAACCCAAAATAAAAAGCTTCAGCTATAACTTATTTCCAACTTAATCGACAGCTGTTTAGCATTGTTCAGCTCATGGACTCTGTGGCCATGGAAGTGGCACTACTCCTAATACAAATCAAAATACCCTACACAGTGAAACAATTAGCAATCTAAAACAATGTTGAGCTGAGGCATTTGGAATTATTGCTTTCCTTTTCCTATTCCGTTCTGCCAGAATATGCACTTGAAACGAAATTTGGCTCAATTTGACTGCACATTTGGGTACCTTCCCTTTAATTTATCACCTCACTGCCGATTTTGAGAATGTCACCGTTCAAAAAAAAAAGAACAGCGACCAGTACTCATACAATCTTTACCTTTTCTCCATCAGAAAATCTGAACTCTTCTACAGAACTTCATTTGTTTACACATAGCTTAAGCATTTAGGTCTTATCAACGGGCCTTTGTAAGAAACCGAAGTAGCATCCCTAGGGTCCCACCATCTGTAGCCATTGACTATATAAAAACTAATGATGTAGTACGCCATTTTCAAAATTAGCCCAAACTGTCTTCCCCTAATTATATATCTAAGTAAACGAAGAAAAAAAAGTAAAGCAGAATGGAAATAAGAGGAATATCATCTTACAACAGGGGCAGTCCTTGATGTAATACCAAATCGGGCGTGGCAAGCTGAATCATTGGGCCTATAAGCTTCCACCTATTGTATACATTAAGTCATTAACCCATATAGATTGTATATACTATCACATTTATCCTAAATCAATTTAACACCCAATTTACGCACATATATACATAAATAGTTTAATCTAACAACTCGTTTAAGAAGGGAAAAATTAAAAAGTAGAATATCACCTCGGTTATCTGAAGTACAACGTCATCTTTCTTGAGAAACTTGCCCAGCAAACGTGGGGCAAGTTCAAGGGCATCAATTTGGTAGAAATCAGGACCCAAGATTGCCCATTTGTCGTAGCATAAAGACGATGGGGATTGCGATGCTGGAGGTATCATTCCTCCATTTGCTTGAAACTTTGAATTATTCTTTCGTTTTGGTTTCCGTTTGACTTTAATGGAATTTTCGATGGTTTTTGTGGGATTTGATAGGTGTGTTAACTTGTTGAGACGTTGAGGGGTCTTCCCCTTGTTCATTCGGCGGAGTGGATGGTTTTTGTGGGATTTGATAGGTGTGTTAACTTGTTGAGACGTTGAGGGGTCTTCCCCTTGTTCATTCGGCGGAGTGACGAAGAAAAACAACAAAACTTGTGATTAAAAAGCAGGAGACTCGTAATCTGAAGCTGAAGCATACAGAGACGAATGAAGGGCTTTCGGCGGGTCTTAGAGAATGTTCGGGCCTGTTTTTTTCACTCATTTTTTTACTGTTATTTTATTATTCCAATCGTTATATTTGACTTCTTCTCTCACAATTGGATATCCCACTTTTCTCCTAACGATCAAAAAATTAATTCTCAAAATCACTCCCAAACAGACTCTTAATGAACTAATTACACACCGTCAAGAACAAATTCCTTCTTTATTTTTTTTTAAATATATAAGTTGGCCACATTCTTTTCTATCTTGCAGCGCCTAGGCTCGAGTTTTTGTTGGAGAATTGAGCCCCTGTTTGTTTTCCATCTTTTTCTTCACTATCAAAAGAAATAGAGTCATTTCTGGACTCACTACCCACCTGACATGATTTCTTTGACTTGCATCTCACATTTGCTTAGAAAAACGTTCACACGGTTGGAAAACTCATTTTTCATACAGAGACGAATGAAGGGCTTTCGGCGGGTCTTAGAGAATGTTCGGGCCTGTTTTTTTCACTCATTTTTTTACTGTTATTTGATTATTCCAATCGTTATATTTGACTTCTTCTCTCACAACTGGATATCCCACTTTTCTCTTAACGATCAAAAAATCAATTCTCAAAATCACTCCCAAACAGACTCTTAATGAACTAATTACACACGGTCAAGAACAAATTCCTTCTTTATTTTTTTTTAAATATATAAGTTGGCCACATTCTTTTCTATCTTGCAGCGCCTAGGCTCGAGTTTTTGTTGGAGAATTGAGCCCCTGTTTGTTTTCCATCTTTTTCTTCACTATCAAAAGAAATAGAGTCATTTCTGGACTCACTACCCACCTGACATGATTTTTTTGACTTGCATCTCACATTTGCTTAGAAAAACGTGCACACGGTTGGAAAACTCATTTTCATTTTGAAAAAATGTGCAGCAAACACAAGCTGAGTGAGATTATAAAGAACTAATTTTAAAAATATTTGCTACGCTTCATAATTGACAAAAAATAAACTCATTAGAGAATTGAGCGAGGTTATAAAAGAGCTAATTCAAAATAATAATAACTCATTGGAGAATTGAGTGAGGTGATACAGAGCTAAATTTTAAAAATGCTTGCAATGCATCATAATTGGAAAAAATTAGAACGATAGCCGTCCCAGCTTGGTTGAGTGCATCCAGCCTAGGAAGGATTAGGATTTAGTTTGATATGGTCAAACCGCAAAATTCATAATTGGATAAAATCTTGTTAATCTAATTTGTCGAGATTACAAATAGATGGGAATCAAAACTCCTACATGTACAAGTAAATAAAATACTACATTTTGATCGTAAGTCCAAACTCGGAAGAAGCAGTCGTTTGTGCAGGTGAAAATGAAAACAGTGCGTGCATAGAGAGATTTCTGATAATAGTATCAGCCACCGCTGCCTGCAACTGTGACGGGCAGCGTTGGCGGTGGCAATGGCTATGGCAACACATTCACAAGAGGGACCCATTGAAAGGGTAGTAGTAGGAAACTGCACATGGAAAGGTTGGGAAACCTTCAACCCTCTTAATTCTTGAAACTCCTTTTGCAACCTCCTATTTTCACACCATTTCTTTAGATGCGCATAACTTACCTCTGTCTGCTTCAACTTTGTCCTGCGTAATCATATATACACTGAATAATTGTTCCAATATTGCACTCTCTCATGAATCAACAAATGTCACATAACTAATGTGTTTTTCCGAGCAGAATTATGTACCTAGCTCTTCGGTTCTGGAACAAAACTTCCACTTGGCGAAGATGAAGATGCGCAACAGCTTTACAAGAGCAATCTTATCTTTTGTTAGAGCATATGAATTAGGATAATATTAGTAAAAGCTAGTGTAATCCATGACATATGGAATACAAGTCATTATCTGAATTGCACTTTTGGTACACACAGTGGACAATATAATGAACACTTCTCCTCCAATCTTCTTGACCAAACATGCAAGAAATGTACCCGCACAAACATACATGTATTTGCATTATGTGACTTACAGGATTGAGGATGATGTGTCCTTTGAAGCTTTCTTCAAGAAAAGCATGCTTTTTTTTTAAGGGTTTTGCCATTCTCTTGCTCATCACTTGCCCTTGTAGAACCCCATTTATCTGCATCAACAAGACTCCATCCCAGCAAGTCCCCAGTTCACATCCTGCAGCCCTTTTCCCCTTTCAGGAACTACTGTTACAAACTCAAACAATGCTTATGATTTAAACTTAAACTTCATGTTCAAGACTAAACTAAACAGTATTAAATAAAAATAGAAAATAAAAATCTAAACTCTTGTTCATGCAACAATTTTATGTGAGCCTGCAAAACAATGGAGGGAAAGGAAAAAGATGAAACTGGACTGGTGGATCAGACAGACCTCTTCTCCCTCTTTCATTTTCTATGGTTTCTTCGCTTCTGCTTTCACCTTCAGTAGTAACTAAACTTCCCTAAAGCCATGCAAAACCCGAATGGCTTTCGTGTGTCACCTGAGATCAAAGCCAACTCCATAAAAGAGAAATTAGATGAAAAAAGAGAAAAGAAAAGGAGAGTATTGTAGGAAATGGCTATAGCCAATAGATTAAAGGAAGAGACCCTGAGAAATTTAAAAGAAACCCATTATTCAAATCTTGATTTTTCAATAGCTTTACCTGGCAATAGTGCTTCTAATAAAATGATTTGCCTAATAATCCATGGTTGACAAATTGCACGTGAATTTATATAAACATACGAAAGGTTTTTACACGTGACAGTGGATTGATTTTGTCCAAACAATGGTGTCTAATTCCCAGAGCCACAAATTATGAGAATATTATTTATACTTTTAATTAATAATGTTACTAATGTATTTTCATATGATTTTTCAGTTTGTGCCCAATTAGGTCAGAACCCAGTTATCTATTTTCTTATGAAATCTGCAAGTTTAGTAAGTTTCAACATTAATTGTCACGTATGACATATGAGTCTGATAGTTGGTGACAAACGAAAAGAGACATTAGCATTAAACAATAGAGAACCAGATGAAGAAACTATATAATGATGGTAAACAACAAACTTCAACACATACAAGTTCGAACAAGCATATAGAGATGCACGTAAATGTGGTACATGCTCAAAAATAGATGGACCTCCAGAAAAAGAATATAAGAGAAGAAACAGCTTAGAAAAGAGAATTCCTGAATGATTAAGACGTCCATATCTAACCTCGGATTCCGCATAAATTAAGTGCTTCGTAAGTACATTCAGTATTCATAAACTTGACCAAAATTTCCTCTTGTTCCGGTAAAGTACATTCAGTATTCATAACTTGACCAAAATTTCCTCTTGTTCCGGTATTCCTGACTAACAATTTACCCATGAGCCAGTCAAATACGATGAACAGAGAGATTAAAAACTGCTTGTGTGGGAAAAGCAGTAGCCAGTAGATGTTCTCCCAAGGAAAATAACAAAAACAACATGGTTCTTTCTAGAGCTGCATTGTAATGAAAGAAAATTTTATATATCAGCTGTTGACGCGAAACTGTGATACTCTGCCCAAAAAGAGTGACCCCATGAGATGCATAAAGTTTCAAACTTATAGAATACAGATCCATGAAATTATTTATTCTAGTGGTAACAGTACGCTTTAGGAAATTCATTTTATGAAAGTTGGGAAAAGTAGCACATCTAAAAGCTAATCCAGATATAAGCAAGATTTAAATCTTAGGAAGCTGCAACGGGAATAGATGTTAAACACATACAAGCAAAGCCATGAGTTTTATACAAGAAAAGAAAAAATGGCAAATGGCACAACCACTTGTTCAAAGAACCAATTGTTTGTTAATTATAATAAAACCGTCAATATGTCAGCAAAGTCAGAACGAGTAATTCAGAATGCAGTTCTACACTTCGTATTTCCCCAAACAAGAGAAATACCATCATGTCATTGTCAGCTACCCCTTCTCCAAAACCTGGATTTTAATCAGTTGAGGATTCTTTCTTTCTATTTCTTCCTTCCATCATTTTTTCTTCTTTTCGAGGTTCAGGTTCATTTGATAGCAGCTTGCTCTCCTCTTTATTATCACATTATCACAACAAATGCCAAGGGGGAAGTAACCTTATTAACAGCGCTGATAGAAAATCCACTTGGGTAGTATAGTGAACATGCAGGTCGCAAGAAAATTCAGCCATTAATTTGATTACTCTACAATTCTGTTTTCAGAAAAACCTGAATAAACATGTTTGAGCGCAAGCCACAAAAGTAAGCATATAAATAAGAATATGCTTATCCAATCACACCATGTGGACGCTAGTATTGAAATTTTAAAGCAAAAGCACAATTTTATAGAATTTTTATATTATGCAGTAGTTTTCATCCAGAAAATTAAATATAGTCAACAAAATCTCAAGGATCATCAAGGGTACTAGAAGCAGATGTACAAATATGACTAAAATTTTCAAGGTTATTTAAGGGTGAAACCACTAAACCAGCCTTGGTCAAATCTTGAAAATTTCGTATGCCACATAGATTGAATTTTAAGCAACACAAAACGGTTTTCACATATCACTAACTGTAGTACTGAAATTTTCTTGGAACTAACGCCCAGGTATAAAGATAATTTGTACCAATAAAGTGCTTGTAAATATTTGAATCCCACTGTGTTCTGAACTCTTAACAGCAAATCACATGTCAAATCAGTTCAGCCTTCTCCTCCTTCGTGCGCGTGAATCTCCACTATCCACATCAGAAGTTCTTGATGCATCATTTCTTCTACTGGAAGATGAAGTAGAAAGCAATACTCTGGAATCTATTTCAACAGCATTATCAACTGTCTGGCTCTCTGAGTGTATAACGGCAGCAATGCTTGACGCAGAATCCCTATCATCAACTGGTAGAGGCTGTTCAGGATTTCTTTCTATAGGATTGTTTCCCAAATATGAATATTCAGCCATACTCCCTGCAGCTTGACTTTCACCAGAGCTTAATCCAGAAGGGAGGTTGGGCAAGGTAGCAGCTTGATTTGAATTTGATCTACGACGCAAGTATGATGAAAGACGGCTTTCCCTTGACTCATAGTTAGTGAGGCGGCTTTCTGGTAAGTCAACCCTATCAACAGCTCTCCTTTCCCTAAGCAATTCTCTAGAAGTCAGAATCCGGTTGAGATATGAGCTAAATCTCACATGTGATTCATGTGGATCACGGGAATTTCGAGACTGATTCTGGACAGATTCCGGACTCACCTCAAATGCACTTCCAAGATGCTCTGTCATTTCCTCCATCGGATTAATGGATGCAGTCCTCTGAATAGTTTGCCTCCAGCCCTCAACCCGCAGTGCTTGGGGCCTGAGAGGAATGTTGTTCAGACTAGAATCCACCTCTTGCTCCCGCCTAATACATCCAGAGCCATTAATTGGGATAACATTTTTCACTGCAACTTCTCCCTTACAAACAGGACACTCCTTAGCAGCTGAGTGATGATGTAACCACCGGTAAAGACAAGGCCAGCAAAACAAGTGACCACAGCAAGTTACAACAGGATCCTTGGCCAACTCCAAGCATATATTGCAATCAAAAAAGCTCCCTTCAACACCGTTATTCTTTTCAACATCTTCCTTCTTTCCCAAAGCTTCATCTTCCAAATATCCATTGCCATTCTCACGAGTTTTGGCCACCTCGGTGTTTCTTTCCTCAGCAGCCACACTACCCTCGCCAGGTTGTAAACCATTCCCCCCAATTATTTCGAATGCAAAATTGGGATAAGATCCTGAGCCGGGTTCGCTAGCATCGCCCCAATTTTCAAGAGGCCCCAAATTAAGATCAAGATTCATGGCAGCAGAAGTCTCATCAGCCATTATAAATTAACGAACCCTAAAATAAAAAACCGTGTTCCCGTTCAGGTCAATCTAAACTTCTACTTTCTAACTCGCAGACTCAAGGATTTTTTGCTATATAAAATGAGTCGAAACCAAGTAAATTTAGTCAGACAACAAAACCCTAATTTATTAAGTCGAGAAATCCTAGCCCCAGTTTTTCGTTTTCTGAATTGAATTAAACCGCTATCTTGATCTGGTCAGAAACATAAAAATCCACATAATTCATGTGCTTAATTGAACAAATATGCAAACTTTATCTGTAAAAACAGATTAAAACCCAAAACAGGTCAACCGAAGGGGGGAAAAAGCACCTTTTCATCACTAACAACATTGCCAGAGAATCATCCGGCCAAAACTAAACACGAATTATTGCAGTAATTTACACTCCACATTAAGAAACGACACAAATTTAAGGGTTCTCTTTAAAAGCAACTAAGACCAACGCTTGGAGAAAAGATGAGTTTTGGATGACACATTAGAATTCAGGTTCAGAGTAAATGGTTGTGCTGGTGTTATATTCTTGGATCGGATACTCGACTAGGATCTTGACGTCATTTTTGGCTTGGAATTGGAATTGAGGATGGTGAGGCATGCTAGTGGCAAAATAGAGCACGGGAGTAAGCCATCGACCCCTCTATGGGACCCCACTACACTACTTTTACCTTGAAAATTTGGCCCAAATAAAACTTGGGAAAATTGCAGCCGAGATACCGAATATTTCGTTTATTAGCAGATTTTGCCCAAATCTTTAGTTTGTGCCACTGGAGGTACCAAACCTTTCAAAAATCTGCACCCGAAGTTCAAATGGATGGAAACCATCCGTTTGACCGTTAGTTGACCAATAAAATTAAACATTGACCAATTTTTGACTAATTGAAAAGGGTAAAAAAAGTAAAAGTTACTTAATCCTATAATAAAACAATTAAAATAAATAACTAAAACAAAAAAACAAAAAAATACTATTCATCTCCTTCTTCACCCACCCCACTCCCCCACCCTACC